GTGTGCCCGGCCCAGATCAGGTGTTTGAATCTTACCTTTAAGCTCTGAATTTTCAGACTATATGTTCTGTTTGGTAACTTTTCATTTGATCTGTAAGCTCTTCATCTTATTTTCTTTACATAATTTAAAAATAACCTTGTTTTTCTCCTTCAAGCTTCTTAGAGGAAACATTTCTGTTAGTAGCATCAGTGAGTCGCTTCACACTGACTCCTGGTTGATAGTCCACATGATTTCCATTTTCTGATTCACTCTCTTTGTCTCATGCCAAGTTGCTGTCATGCATGTACTCTCCTAAACAGAGCAGGCACATTTATTGTTTCCAGCACAGTTTCAGTCAGAGACTTTAACTGGCTCTCTTTATTATTTACAGCCAGTTTCATTCGTGTGTTTTAGGTTTTTAAGTATTTTATTCCTGTTTTTTGATTCTTGAACTCTTTCTTTTCATCTCAGGCCTTCTTGGGAATGTCATTTTAGGCATTCCTGGAGGTGAGTGAGCATTTTTCAAATCACCCATTATTTCCATGTAAAATTGTTCTACATTCTTCCGAGAAGGCTTTAAGGTATTTGTGGTGTCTGTTACTTGGAATTGGAGGGATTTTGCTGTCTCTTCCAGTGACTATGTCTTTCCTTTTAAGTGCATCATCCTCATTTATGAAATAAAAGTGTATTAGTCTCGGTTTTCTATGTCATGAAGGTCTACTGTCTCCTCAAAAGAAGAGAGGGACTTACTTAGATTCTTGTCAAGTGCTGCCTAACACAGTGCTTGTAACATCAGAGGATTGGCATCCACTGGAAGTGAGCTGAGGGCTTCTTAGTCTGGTGTAATCAAGTCTATGTTCTCCCCGACTTGCCCATATTCTTTGACCCAGGCAGAAAATCGTTTGGCCAGCTCTTTTCCCCTCCTTAAAGTATGTCAGCTTTTCATTTATAAACACATCACAGGCTGGGCATGGTGGCATGTGTCTATAGTTCCAGCTACTTGGGAGGATCCCTTGAGCCCAGAGGTCAAGGACATAGTCAGCAGTGGAGAGCACTACTGCACTTGAGCCAGGGGACAGAGAGAGACCCTGATTCAAACAAACAAACAAAAAAACCAGTCATAACAGCAGCAGATACTAGAATTTCGGGAAAGTCTGAAAAGATTGGAATGCTCTCTCTGGCCTTCAGACAACAGCAGAGCACTCCACAGATCCTCAGGACTGCTGACTTTTGAGGCAGTCGGCAGGCCCTCCATGGTTTTAATGGGTACTGCAGCTCTGCCCTCGGTTGCATGTATTCTGTGAGCCACAGCCAGCCGCTCTGAACCTTGCTGAGTGTTCTGTCTTTCACCCAAACATATGACTAGGCATAAGATATCAGTGGGGCTGGGAGAGGGGGAGGCCAGGCTCTATGAAGTAGTATTCTGTAACTTTGCTCCATCCACTGCGCAAATGGAAAGAGATAATGTTTGTACAGTGCATTAGGGAAAAATGGAAAAGGCTGTCCACAGCCAGAGGAACCAGCCTATGAGCTCTGTTCTCTCTAGGCCCTACTTGGCCCTACATCAAACCTGGGAGAGATCAAAGCAATGCTGTGTAATACCTGTTTTCTGCATACACGCAGGTCAGGGAGTGACAGTGACACATGCTGCAGCAGAGGACCCATGTGCTTACATCCCTGGGCAAGGTCATTCTTCTCTTGATTCAAAGTTTCCTTCTGGATCCTGGAACCCTGATCTGCCTACAGAAATCACAGGGCACTCCTTCCCCCTGATTCCCTCTTTCTTTTGTATTTAGTCAGTGCTGGCAGGCAGGGGCAGAGGACTGGATGGCTTCATCAAAGGCACTCATTTATTGAGTGGGAATTTAATTGTAAGAATTCAGGGGAAATCAATGGAGATTGGCAGTATCTTAACGTTTCATGGATTTTTGGTGGAGCTAGTTTGTCCCTGTTCAAAACAAGCAGTCTTGCATGGGGAGGCTCTCCTTCATAGTAACTCTTTCCACTCGTCCATTTGTGGCCCTGCCATCTTCAGCAGACTTCTAAAGCTGTCCTAGGATCAGTCTCCAGTCAGTATACCTTGCCATCTTCAGAAGTGTGGCTCTGTGGAGTGCCTCCAAAGTAGGAGCCGGTCCTTCTTTTGGCTGAATTTGCCACCCCTTATTTCTTTAAACAATATCTCACTCTCCTTGATATGGTTTGTCTATGTCCCCACCCAAATCTCATCTTGAATTGTAGTTTCCATAATCCCCATGGGAAGGACCTGGTGGGAGGTAATTGAATCATGGGGGTAGTTCTTGTGATAAGTGAGTGAGTTCTCACAAGATCTGATGGTTTTATAAGGAGCTTTCCCCGCTTTTGCTCGGCACTTCATGTTGCTGCCCCCATGTGAAGAAGGATGTATTTGCTTCCCCTTCTGCCATGATTGTAAGTCTCCTGAGGCCTCCCCAGTCAAGCTGCACTGTGATTCAATTAAACATCTTTCTTTTATAAACTGCTCAGTCCCTGTTATGTCTTTATTAGCAGTGTGAGAATGGACTCATACACTCTTAAGTGTCTCTGAAAGACTCAGGCCCAGAGATTCACTGTCCCTCCCCAAGGACTCTGCATTGAGTGCCTTGTCCCCAGTATCTTTATCTATGAGGGAAATGAAGCACCTTTGATGGAGACTGGGCTGGGGCTCTAAAGGGCACCACGGTTTGGGCTGCAAGGGTCCTGCTTCCAGGAGTCCCTGTTTGTTTCTCATTTTTGAGTCAGAAAAAGGTCCCTGGGAATCTGTGCATAGGCTCTACCTTATCAGGTTTCTCTGTCTCAGAAGACATGGCTGCCCATGAGAAGTATTTAAAGGAATGAACATTACCTATTAACTCATTTAGTTCTCATATAAGGTGATGTAATCATAATGGCTCTTAATTTCAGAATGTAAGCATAAAGCCATGTATTTAACATACACACAAACATTATATGTATACACACACACTTAAATGATGTATGTGTATGTGTGTGTACTTAGTAAGCAGTGAATAAACACGAGCTAAATGATGAAGTTGGTCCTAACCTGTTTTTGAAGAATTGGCAATTACAGAGAGGATGATGTCATTTTTAAAAATTTCATGGGGACATAGCTATATAGATATCAATCTTTTGAGGTTTTTTTTTTTTTAAGAATCGGAAAGTGTTGGTGACATAACTCCTTTTGCCTGTAATGTGTCTTAGCAATTTAATTTTTGTCTTACAGCTGGTTTGGAAAAGTCCTAGTTGTCATACTTTAATGTGCTTCCTTCTAGTGATAAGTGGGGTTACAGAAAGTGTTTTGCATGCAGTAGATGCTTAATAAGTATTTGTTGATTAAATAAACGAGTAATATTGGAATAGAGATCAGCACGCAGTAGGTCACGATGATTTTATTATTTCATTCACTCATTCACTTATTTACTTCACACAAAAAAACTGATCTCCAACCATACACCAGGCACGACTCTAGACACTGGAGGTACATCAGTGAATGAGACAAAATTTTCGCCTTTAAGGATTACACTTTTTTTTTGTTTAAGATGAAGTTTCGCTCTTGTTACCCAGGCTGAGTGCAGTGGCGCGATCTCGGCTCACTGCAACCTCTGCCTCCTGGGTTCAAGCAATTCTCCTGCCTCAGCCTCCCAAGTAGCTGGGACTACAGGCATGCACAACCATGCCCAGCTAATTTTTGTATTTTTAGTAGAGACGGGGTTTCACCATGTTGACCAGGATGTTCTCGATCTCTTGACCTCATGATCCACCCACCTTGGCCTCCCAAAGTGCTGGGATTATAGGCGTGAGCCACTGTGCCCGGCCAATGATTACATTTTAAAAGGAGCAGCAGGACATAAATCAACAGGAAGATATCCAGAAATGGTAAGCTATGATGGAGAGTAAACCCAGTGAGATTTGAACCAGGGAGGAAAGGCCACTGGGCTGGAGCTGGAGCTGTTGAGAGTTACAGCCTAGGCCAGAAGCACAGTGCTGAAGCTTGAAGAGGGAAGAAAAAGAATATCTCAAGCACTTGCTTCTGCCCTCTGACCTCCTTCTGATGCCTCTTATTGGATGGATAAAATGTGTGGCCAAAGAGCCTGAGTCTGGATGATGTAGGCCTTAGGGGAGAGCTTCTCAGAGCACAGAGCAGGGCAAAGAAAGACAGAATATGATCAGAGGCATGTGGCTGGGAAATAAAAGGCGAATAACTTGAATCTCTCATGGAGTCAATCTGAAAATTTTTACCACTTCTAAGCTCCTTGGGGGCAAGCACTGAGTTGGATTTACCTCTCTCCCCTACAAGACCTAGGGAGCACAGAGCTTGGCAAAAAGTAAATGCTTGTTAATTTAGTTGCACTTTGCAGGATCGGCTCTGCTTGACTAAATGAATGTGCTTCTGGCATCAGAGTCACCTCCTGAAGATTCTAGTTCTGTATTGACCCTGGGGAAATGCAGTATCTTGTTCATGATGATATTCCAGCAGCATGCTTGGTGTATGATTATGTCTAATGAACATTTGTTAAACAACAAAGAATTCTTTTGGCATACAGAATTTTCTTTGTTACTCATATGCAGAATTGTAATGAAATAAAGCATTTTTCAGTTTGGAATTCTGCAATAAATGGATAGCTTTCATTAAAATTATGGAGTAAAACTTGAGAGACAGATTACCACCATTTAGCTTCCTTCCCCCTCTTTCTTTCAGGAATCTCTTCTGTTAATGGGGATGAAAAACAGATGAATGCATGTATGTTCTCTTTTAGACTCTGCATGTGGTTATATTCTCCCCAAATTGTCATGTATTGGGAACCTGCTAGTATGGTTAGAGTGGCAGGAATTAAGTCACTGGTATGTAATTTTCACTCAACATTCTTTTAGAAGAGGATCAAGAAGAATTAAGAAGATTTCAGAAATAAAAGAACAAGGAGACCCAGGGAGGAAGGGTGAGGAGGGCAATACTTAATGTTAAATGGGCTTATTTGATGTTTGGTGAACCAGATTTGTGCAAACACTCAAGGCTTCCAGAAAACATTTAATACATGCTCTTGACCTGTAAGGGCACTGAATTGAGAAAAGGCTACAAGAGTTGTCTGAGCTTGTTCTTCAGAAGGAAAAAGGCAAGGTGTAATAGGGGAGCTGAGTACACGTCTTATCACCCAGGAAAGGAGAGCATTGTTGTGGTGTGATCAGAGACAGAGCAGTGTGGCTGAGGGGAGGCAGTAAAGCAAACCACACTTAACCTATGACTTCTAAATAGTCAGGGCTATGCTAGACCAGAGTTGGGTTTTTCTTTGAGTTTACAAAGCAAGTCTCTACTGATGTTTTTATACCTTTTTCTTTCACTAGTCTTCAAGCTGTTGAAACATTTTTTCAATTACTTGTCATTTGCTGTTGTTTTGTCTAGGTGAATCATCATGAAAACTAAGTAGAGAAAAAAACAAACACCCCAGTCATCAGAGCAAGAATATTTCAGAACTGTCCATATTTAGTCATTGACTAAGCTCTCCCCAGTTTGGCTGGGAAGCTCCTTACTGCTTTGATAACCAAGTGTGAAGATGACTAGCCATTCATTGTGCAGAGACAATGCTATATGAAAACTTTACTTTTCCTTTTGGACATGAAGACTTTTTTCTTAGCTCCCTTGCATCTAAGTAGACCAGATGGCTGTGAGCCTCCACCTCAACCCAGCAGCACCCACTGGGCTATAGCAAGACAACAGGTCACAGAAGCCCATGAGGGGACATGTACTCAGATCCCCTATTATACCTTGCCTTTTTCCTTCTGAAGAACAAGCCCACACAACTCTTCCACTCCTATCCTCTTTTCTTGGTCTCTTTTTCCATTTTCCTTCATTTCTTTAAAAAGGAGAGCAAAGCCATTTCAGCTGAGAGGCTGGGGCCACGGTCCACATGGAGTTTGGTTGCAGGGGTGTGGCACCCTTTCCTGCCAGAAAAAGAGAGGGGTAGAATTGATGTAGATCACATCAATACCTGGACTAGCAGAAATAAATCCTACTTAGTTTCCCACTGTAACTGAGAGTGGAGATATCCCCAAGATTGTCGTGGGAGGGCGTACACATCTATAGGGAAGCTTGGAGTAACGATGGAGTTTAAATAAAACACAAAGAAACTCTGGGGCATCTGGCTGGTATGCTCAAAACTGGGAATGTGGCACCAGTTGTTTTGTGTTTGAGGCTAGTCTAGTCTATTTATATGATTACAGGGCTTGGAGAAGTTTATGAAAAGTAATCCTGCCATGTAGAATTTCCTAGTTATGATGGCCTCAACTGAATGTTATTGTTTAAGTACTAAATTAGATCAAAGGTTGAGCATCTGATGTTGGTTACATTTTACCTGCTCATTTGGAGGAGTAAGGTGGAAGAGAAAGGCTGTGAGGGCTGGTCTACACAAGGAGATTTTATTTCCTAAAATGTTTTGTTGCAAATGATGGTGCACCTGTGACAAGCTGGCTGTGGTCAGGGTGGAAACAGGAAGAGAAACGACACTTAACCTATGACTTCTAAATAGTCAGGGCTAAGCTAGACCGGAGTTGGGCTTTTCTTTGAGTTTACAAAGCACGTCTCTAATGATGTTTTATACCTTTTTCTTTCACTAGTCTTCAAGCTGTTGAAACATTTTTTTCAATTACTTGTCATTTGCTGGTGTTTTGTCTAGGTGAATCATCATGAAAACTAAGTAGAGAAAAAAACAAACACCCCAGTCATCAGAGCAAGAATATTTCAGAACTGTCCATATTTAGTCATTGACTAAGCTCTTATTGAATACAGCTTTACGGAGAGTGATGAGATTACAAAATAACACGACCTACATTTTAGTTTGTTGTTCCTTATATAGTACCAGAATGTTTTAAGCAAACAAAGAAACTTTTTTGCCAAAGTTTGCTGAATAAATAAAAAGTTTTTAAAGAATATCTAAGAGAAGTAATTTATTTCAAATTCCCTGAGAGGGCAAATTAAATGGTCTTTACCCAGTGAATGTGCTGGAGGGTAAATCTTTATTATTTTAGAGAGTTTAGTTCTTTAGCAATAGAGAGAGGACTGTTTGGAAAATTATTCTGTAGGTTTTATTGACATGAAAAGAAATACTGAAAAGTAATTCCTTTTAATGCTGCCTTTGCTGGAGAACATATTCATCAGTGGCTGGAATAGGGATCTAACTCATTGAGAGATTACATAAATTCATCTGGTTGTAACTAAGGGAAAAAAATTAATGAGGTGATTTGAGTTTCTTTCATCTAGTAACTTGGATGAATTCTGAAGAGACTTGGCCAGGATAACCAGCAAAAATATAAAATAAAATAATTGACCTTTTAGCATGTGCATATTTCCTGGTAAACCTCTATTTTCGTGCATGTTTGTAAAATACACTTATTGTAACTGCTGCTCTACCTTAAATCATAGAACCATTCAGTACTCACTTTCTTATGAGCTTATGAGTGAGTACTCAATTATACCTCCTCACTCATAACACTCCACTACCATTTAATCATATTTTAAAATTATACAAATCTGTACCATCACTCACCTTCTATTCAAAACCATTCTTATAACATAGGAAGTAAAAATAAAGTTCATTCAGTGCACTTCCTGGAGACTTTCTCAGCAGGTCTCTGGCCCATTCAGAAAAAGAGAGCTTGAATTTTATTATTTCAGCTGCTGGGTAACATGCTATTTCTCTGATACGTTGAACTGATGCTTTATTTGATTACAGGACTCAGACATTACAAAAATAACAAGTCCTTTTCTTTAACAAAAAATAAAAGGAAGTATATGCTTGGATCCTAAGACTTGGGAGTGTAATTGAATATAAGCTTAAAACATACTAAAAATTTTCCACTTGGAAAATCTGGAGAAACAAGGTTTCTAGGAGCTACTACTTCAATAGTTGGTTTAACAAATATGTTTCCCTTATACATGAAAAAGGACACACATTACTTTGATTCTGCATACTTTTATATATTTAAATTGGCAATGCAAGATGTTCCAGGATATGGAACTTTCACCAACCCTTATGTTCCATACTCCTCACCATCGTGTTATGTCAGAGATTCTGATATTCTGAATTCATATTGGTCTTTATTTTCCTAACCGTTGAAGCAGAAGGTAGAACAGCAATGCACCCAGGAATCTGGTAAGCTCAAATATGTGGTTTTCTGAGTCTTTAAACACTTCAGAAAATAAATGATGATTTCAAATGATTTATCCAGCTCTAACATGTCTCCAGTTTCATCTCTAGAAAGCCATTGCCATGTTTTTGCACAACTTATTTTATCAAGCTTTGATAGACGAAAAACCCTCTAGTTTCAGTATCTCTTCTCAGTATTCCATCATGTAATGTTAAATTGGTTGATTCTCATTTATTTCAAGCCCTAGGTCCTCCTCTTCATATAATACTTCTAAAACATCAATGGGAACACATCTATTAGTATGCATCAAGGAATTATGTCTATTTGCCCACTTATGATCTGTAATCCACAAGAAGACACATTTTTCTCTAAAAATTAGCCATACACTATACGCTTCTCAGTTGTATGAGTATGTACATATACTCACATATACATACACCAAGGTAATATACCACATCCTCATATAGTAAGGTAAAAGATTCTTTGTGTGTGATAAGGAAACAGCCTAGTGTTTTTACATTAGTAATGCCTTGTTCTAAATTTACAGCATTGGTAGCCCTTACTTGAGTGTTACCATTACATACTCAGAGGTTAAACTTTTCATAAGGGGCAATGATATAAAATTGTTCCACAAAGGGTACTATATGAACCACTTTTCACAGTTCAAATAAAATATTTTAGAAATAAACATCATAACTCTAGCAATAACCTGTCTACACAAGGTGGAGAGGATGAGATTAATGAAGACCAAATTATATTTCCATATATCTCATGTTCAATTTCTAAATATCTTGTTTTATTTTTCAAAATCCAATTGCACATAACCCATGATTGATAGGCCACTTCCTCTCCAAAACAGTCAAAGAATAAAGTAATAAATTATAAGAAAGGAAAATATATATCATTTACTACAGTCATTCCCTTTCCCCAAAACTTGGCAAAGATGTAAGAAAAATGCTATCAAGTGGATACACTTTGATTTATAAAGTTAATTTGGAGCAGATGAAATTAATAAAAATAGGACAGAATTAGCATATATTTTTATATATGTGAGATGCGTATTTGATTTTTACTTAAGAAATCAGGAAGATCCATATGAAATGGGAAACAATGGCATTTACCAACAGGAGAACCCTTTCATCCAGTTTCTGCCAAACCTACAAATTCCAAATATTTCTTTCATTATTGTCACATAATGACAATAATGGGGGTAAATTGATTTACTGTTCTTGGTTGTACAAACTTCAGGCTATCTAAGCTTCAGGCTAATGGTCCTTAGGGACATAGTTTTATTTGGTGATCTTCCCAGGGCATACATTAGGGCCAAGGCTTCCTTTCAACAGATTGGTGTAGCCTTTAGGGTGAGGGTGAGGCTCCCAGGGTACTTGAAATTCTTCTTGAATAGAGGACAAGGGATAAAATGCAAATACTTCTAGTTTAAACAACCAAATGACTCAAATTTACACCATAAATTAAATGACTAATATCGATTCCTTCATTGAGAGCAGGATTATGGCAGAAAATACGCTGGGGCCTGAGGTATGGAGGAAGAGGAATTTTGGCTAACACAAAGGTTATTAACTGCAGTCCCTGGGTGGAATCCCTATTCCTTTTCAGTCAGATTTTGTTTTAAGCTTTATTACATTGTCATGGGATATCTTTCAAAATCCTTTACTCAATCAAGTATGGGGGGGAATTGCGTTAAAATACAGAATTAAATCTTAAGTCTTTACGGATATCGATGATTTTCATTTTTAAATAAAATCTATACGAATATCTTCAACTTCGTTAAGAAAAAAGGAGAGAGGAAAATAAACTTTTGAACACGAAATCACTTACATAAACCTCAAGTGTACTAACGTGTGGAGGAAAAAAAATCTCAAATGTGGGTGTAACCGCTATACTTTCGGGAAACGTGCCGCCTTGGAAGAGTGCCTGTAACGAATTCCGTCTGCCACCCAGTGGCCACTGAAATAAATTTCTTTTGTTGGCTATGGCTCTGGATTTTGCTAAGAAAAAAAAAAAAAAAAAAAAAAAAAAAAGAAGACACAGAGGTAGATTATGCCATACCAGGAATTTAAAGCCATCAAGACATGTGCCTCGACATGTTTTACCATACGATCAGTGTAGTAAATGCTAAATATTTTCCTTTTCGCGAACTCAAAGGTTAACCACGTGGCTCTATAAATAAATAACGTGTTCTTCCGGCGTCCCTGCGTCTACCTGGGCTCAAATACTGACTGGCACGGAAGACACCGAACTGGCCCGGGATTCCCGAGTCACGCTGTTGGGCATCGAGAGGGTGCAGCAGGACACGCCGACGGTGGCCTCGGGTAGCTCGTCGTCCTCCGTCCACTCGTTGAGCTCGGGGCTGAAGCACTGGATGCACTTCTTATACTTCTTCTCGCCCTCGTTCCAGCCCCCTACCAGGTAGGCGCGGCCGTGCAGCGCCGAGGCGCCCGCAGTGCTCACTCCCACCTGCAGCGGCGCCGCGTAGCTCCACTGGCCGGTCGCGGGGCTGTAGCACTCCACTGTCAGCACGTCCACGCGCTCCCCGCGCGGCCCCACCTGGCTGCCGCCCATCACGTACACTCTGTCGCCCAGCGTGACCGCGCAGTGCCAGCCCCGGGGTGTGCTCAGGCTCGGCAGCTCCTGCCACGAGTCGCTGGCCGGGTCGTAGGCGCACACCGAGCGCGAGTAGGCGTTGGCGATGTAGCCGCCGGTCAGCAGCACGCGGCCGTCGGCGACCGCGCCGGCGTGGCAGCAGCGCGCCACCTCCAGGGGCGTCTTCGGTTGCCACTGATTGGTGGAGGGCACGTAGCACTCCAGCGAGGCCAGGCTGCCTTCTGCGTTGCGGCCGCCCGCGGCGTACAGAAGCCCGTTGAACACGCTCAGGCTGAAGTGCGTGCGCTTCTGGTTCATGCTGGCCAGGTGTATCCAGGTGTTGAAGCGCGGATCGTACCTGGAAATGGCAGAGGAGGCGTGACAGCCTTGGCGGCGGCAGCTGGGAAACCCCTGTTACTCTGCAAACCACGCTCCTTACCTGGAGGCTGGCGTTTCTCGCTCAGCCAGTAAAAATGTGTGACACTTGGAAAAGGCAAAGCCGGCATTGACTTCCCCTCGCCCCCTCCCCTCCCCCGTTTATAAGATCACTCCCTTTATGGGGCCACTTGGAGAAGAGCCCAGAGACTGAATCTTTCAGTCCTTCTTTCCTCCATATTCAAATATCTATCATCCAGTGGGATTTATGAGATGTGGCTTTTGTGGCGATCAGAGGTGGGCACCGCCATATTAAAGTCAATTCTGCATATCTTCAGATGCTATCCATTTCTAACTGCCTCTCACTGTTTAAGATACAAATTGACTGACTGGATTTCTCCACTCCTCACAAACCCCTTATTCCTACACCTATCCTGGCCATTTCGACAGTAAAGCCAAGCCACTCCACCATGTCTTCTCTTGTCTGTTAGATTGAGATCAATGGAATACATGCTTAAAAGCACCAACAAAGGCTTAACTTCCTATACTCTTCTATTTTTCAGCACTTATAAAGAAGACTTTTTAGTTTAGGGATAAATATATATATATATATATATATATATATATATATATATATTTTCAGTGCTTGGAACTATCCATGCGTAAGCATTGAAATTGATTTCGACTTGAGTACTAACAGGTGTCTTTTCAGCAGAAAGAAAACAAGCATAGTGAACTGATCCTGTCCTGTAGTTTAGAAGTATTGTAAATACAGAACTCACTCCTTCAGTCTGATGTTTATCTTTGTCCCATTTAACTCCCAAATTAAACAACTATAGTTACAAATTAAACACTGAAAATTAGTTAATTGGGTTATTTTAAATGCATACACACAATGGAATAATAAAGAATATTTTTCATGAAATACTACACACATTTTCAGATCTTGCTCATTAGTTATGTTTGACTTTATACTACTACCATGACATAAGCATGACTTTCTGAACATTTTATATAAATGGAAGTTTAATTTTTATCATAAATATATAAAATAATATGGGATTTGAATTCCATTTTTGAAGGATGTGTTATGCTTTTACTCTTTCTATATGTGTCAAAAATACACATTTTCTGTTATTCAGTTTTCAAATAAGTATTTCAAATTAATTAGCTACCACAATTTTAATGATCTCATTCTATTTGCCAGTTATGAATTTGACAGTTGTCAGTAGCAGTCACTTAAGTTAAATTTTGCATTATTTTATTATTTCTTACTACTTAGTGTTAAAAACTAAATTTGTACATAATTTCTGTCAAAAGTCAGTGTATTGTGAAGAGTACCCAACTAGAAATGAGCAAATGTGAATTGCTGCTTACTGGTGTTATAATTTCGCTAGATATCAGGTTTGTCATATATAAAAACAGAATAATTGTATCTTCCCCGCCCACTTCATAGGCTTGTTTCAGAAATCTATAGTGCATAATATATATGAATGCACTTTATATAATATAAAGTGCTGAACATACATAAGGTGGCATTTTTATTATTGTTGGTTTACTGAGCCAATGATCTAAGCTAATAAGCACGATTTATTTACTTCTACATTAGGGCTATTTCCCTATAATATTGAACCATTTCAGTTCCTAATAAAAGATCAAGTACCTGCAGAAATTGCTGACTGCATGCTTGGCTTGATTTCTTGCATCATTCTGGTCTTCACCACCGGCTACATAAAGAAATCCATCCATCACAGCCACACACTGATTAAAACTTTTGGATGGCATTTCCGTAAGCTTGCTCCATCCATTTTCAGGGTCTCTATACAAGATGTCTCTGCTAAGGGACTTCTCAGTAAGGCCTGGACGTCCCCCAATAGTGACGAGGACTCGGCAGCCACCTCGGATTCTTGTTCGCCTAGATTGCAATGTGTTCTGATGATATGGAAGCAAGTGGTAGTTCATAGCATCTACGAGAAGTTTGTGACAATCAGCATCTTGCATCATTCTTGGTACAGATTGGACATAATTGACCAGGTCTTGTGCGGAGATGGTACCAAAGCGAATATTGCTCAAAAGATCTGCGGCATATTTTATTCTCTTTTGGTCAAATTCTAGCCATTTCATTGCAATCTGGAATGCTACTATCTCAGAAGGCAACTGTAAGTCATCATCTATAAGAAGTTCATTAATTTGTTCAAATGTAAGTTTCATAAACTGATCTGATTCTGCAAATTCAAGGAAGTTATCCCGAATAAATTTCTGTGCTGCTGCTTTTGCATTTTTCAGGGAGTATGTTTCAGCAATATTAACTACATACATGCAATTCTCAACACTCATCTCCCGTATCAGAAAATCACTGCACATCTTTACAAGAGTGTGGATCTGAAGGTAAACAGCAGCAGAAATAATGCTTCCTATTGTATACAAGGAGAGAGTGAGCTTTCCAGTGTAGGCATACGCAATGACAGTGGCCAGGCCTAGCGGTGAGATATCATTGAGATCCACCCTCTGAGTTGATGGGTCTTTTTTTAGGATGTTGTAAAAGTACTCACTGCATGAAGCCATCACTGACTTATGAACATCAAAGGATTTGGTTTTTGTACCAATGACTAAGTCACACAGGAAGTTCTCCTGCCTCATTTTACTTAAACCTTCCAATAGGTTGGGGCCATAAGACGCATCTGTTAGTTCGGAAGAAATGCAGCTAAGGCCATTGCCTCCCTCTAGTAGCCCATTCAAAGCATTCAGTTTGTTTAGGGGGCTATCTTCTAGGATTATAGTCATCTCATTGATATCGCCTTTGTTCTTTTTGACAATCTTCTTTTTGGGTGCCATGTTGGCAAATACACTGTCACAGGCAAGAGCTTGCTAAAGAAAGAAAAAAATGGCATGGTTTTAATTATGCTTTAGACTTTAAAATATTACACTGAGAAACTTTTCTTTTTCATAAGATAATAGTTTATATTAAAATAGATTAATTTTCAAAAATAGATTTAAAGACATATTAAAGTAGATGCACATTTTACAGTTAACTTCAGCATGAAGCATTGAAGACAATTCTAGAACGACTGATGTTATCAAATGAGACCTCTCCATAACTGTATTGCCAAGTGATTATACAAAGAATATGACCACATTTTTTCTCTTTCTTTCTTTCTTTCTTTCTTTCTTTCTTTCTTTCTTTCTTTCTTTCCTTCCTTCCTTCCTTCTTTCTTTCCTTCTTTCTTTCTCTTTTTCTTTCTCTCTCTCTCTCTCTTTTTCTCTTTCTTCTCTCTCTCTCACTCTCTCTCTTTCTCTCTTTCTTTCTTTCTTTTGACAGAGCCTCACTCTGTTGCCCAGGCTGGAATGCACGGGCATGATCTCGGCTCACTGCAACTTCTGCCTCCAGTGTTCAAGTGATTCTCCTGCCTCAGTCTCCCCAGTAGCTGGGACTATACGCGTGTACCACCATGCCCAGCTAATTTTTGTATTTTTAATAGAGATGGGGTTTCACCATGTTGGCCAGGCTGGTCTTGAACTCCTGGCCTCAAGTGATCTTCTTGCCTTGGCCTCCTCCCAAAGTGTTGGGATTACAGATGTGAGCTGCTGCACCCAGCCAACATTTTCTGATTGAGCTATACAGTAGAGTAGTAGTTAAATATAATTTAAAGCACTTAGTTTACTCTCATGAAAAAGTGAATTATAAACACTCTGAAGGTTTTCCTCGGTAAAATACTAAAATTCAGGAATCCATGTGAAATGTAGAAAATATTATGGAAAAATGATTGTATTTGCTGTAGCAATAAAACCTGTTATATTTTAAGAGATATACATACTTGACTCAAATTTAGTGAGACACATATGATAAATACTATAGAATTTTGCCAAAGGATTTAACAGAGAAGGACTCAACATTCCTATATGAAGAGATGATGTCAATTCAGTGAAATTTTAGTTGCTACCTCTATATGATATTTTTTCTTTCTGGCACTTGATAAAATGATTTCAGAGTTTAACTGAGGGAGCGAGTATAAAAGAATATCTAGGAATTTTGTTTAAAAATAAAGAAATCTCTCCAGATGTAACAAATTACAGGAACTAAAAATTTTGGATCAGGAATTTTAAAAAAATTCAGTGGAATAAGATAAGAGGTAGAGAACTATAAATTCAGCAGAACAAAATAAAGGGTAGAAACCCATATATGTATATGCGTGTATGTGTGTGTAGATATATACAGTATATATGTGTGTGCATATTTACATATTTATATAATGTATGTGTGTTTGAGTATATTATGATAAATATGGCACTTAAAAATCAATGAGCAAGAACTTGTAATGATAGCATTAGGTCAATTGATTTCCTACTGTATATATTCACTAAAAAATCTTCCAGATGAATTAAATATCTAAGTAACTTTCACACATACACAAACTTATATAAGACCAGAACAAGCTAAGGTTCTTGTTTTTGTTTTATATCATAGGGAAGGGAAAGCCCTTCTCAGCTGACATAAAATCCAGAAGCCAGAAAAGACTGAAATATCAGAATATAGAAAAAATAAAAACCATGAAACAATAGCAACTCTTTAAGAGGCAAGTATTTTTAACGCCCCCCCCCCTTTTTTTTTTTTTGAGACAGGGTCTCATTCTATCACCCAGTCTAGAGTGCAATGGTGTGATTTTGGCTCACTGTAGCCTCGATTTCCAGGACTTAAACAATCCTCCCACTTCAGCCTCCTGAATAGCTGGGGCACAGGTGCATGCCACTATATCTTCCTACTTTTTTTTGTAGTGAAGAGAATAGGTTTCACCATGTTGCCCAGGCTGGTCTGAAACGCCTGGGCTCAAACAATCCACCTGCCTCGGCCTCCCAAAGCCCTATTATTACAGACATGAGCCAACTCACCCAGCCTAATCTGATGATTTCTTTGGTGCAAATACACTTATCATGGCTGATTTCAAGCTAGCAACTGCTTAACAATCAGCTTGCAAAATTTCTGAAAATTAAACAATCAGCTCTTGTGAGCCAGTGCAAGCCAGCTCCAACATAACACTACGGAAAACTTATATCAAAACACGTTTACACTAATTATTCAACAGTTTGCTCTTTTCACTTAACAGTAACTCATGTATATCTTTCCACAGAACTACATGTATAAATCTACTTCATTCTTTCTAATGGTGCACACTATCACATAGTAAGGGTATATCATACATTGTTCAACCATTAGCCTATTGATAAGCATTTAGGTTTTTAGGTGTTTTACAATTTTTGTCTTTGTCATGTGTGTGTGTGTATGTTTTAAATCCCACTGTAATTTCATCCAGAGGGGTAAAACTCAGCTTTGGCTCTCCTTGAAAGGTTTTCAATTTGATGTCTTGTGTATATGTTTAAGTAATTGTACAGCTCTTCTATTGTATTTGCCCCTGCTCCTATCCACGCAGAGGAAGAGTTGCAGGCAAGCAGAAAATAGAGATGTTTTATTTCTTTTCCAGGGCTTTTGTTTTCTTCTTTAAGTTCCAATTGTCATATTCACATTTATGTTTTTTTACAAGAGAGTAGCACATAGATCCTTCTTCATTCTTTTTGCAAACAATGCAAAATGCATCCTTACCTTGTGAAAATAGATTATGAACCCACTATCATTTTAATGCTCAAACGCATTAACTTATGTATTGAGTGTCTCCTTGTTGGATTTTCTGGGAGAAACTTTTGAATATTTGTCCAGGAAGCAGTTATCAGATATCCATCTCAGTGTGGACAGCGCAGTGCTGGGAATGATGGAGCAGTACAAGATGTAACTTCCATTAGAAAGACGAGACATTGCAAATGCAAAACGTTAGTAAGAAGCTAGGTAAGCGCAGAAGAGTAAGTTTTAGGAGACAAGTCCTGTCTGTGCTTCTGGAACAACTCTTGCAGCCAATTTTTTCATTCATATAAATACAGGGCTTGTAAATGCTCATTGTTTTAGAGGAAATCCTAAGGCTGAAGAGTAATCTGAGTGCCTCAGACTGAAACACTAAATATTCTGTTTATCCATCATTAAGATGTTGTTTCATAAGTAGCATGTAAGGGAAAATTTTAAAATATGAATTACTGATGAAATAGGACACCTACTAAATAAAATGGATTCAGGCCACAGTGCCGGGGCTGGGTCCCAGAGGACACCCCTGGGTTACACTGTGTCATTCTTCAGTTACTAGATCATAGTGAGACCCAGGAGAGGGTAGAAGGATGGGAGGGACTCAGAGAAGCTCAGGGCAGTAGCTGTTTGGCTATTTCAATTTGTTTGATATAAACATAATATTTACAGAGGGATGTTAGTATTTTAGCATATTCTCTGATCCAAATGAAATTAAATTAGAAATTAATAACAATAAGCTATCTAGGAAAACCACTTAGTTTTCAATATTTGAAAATTAAACAATTTCCCTTTGAATAATCCACAAGTCAAAGAAGAACTCACAGGAGAAAGAGAAATTTGATAATATTTCAAATAGAACGACAATGAAAATAAAACACAAATATCAGTTTTACTGCTTACCTGCAGTGTGACTTTTGGTAGATTACCTAGCCTTTTACAGTTTCCATTGACTTATTTCTTAAGAGAAGATGATAACAGTGCCTGTCTCTAGGGTTGTCAATGAAAGCCTAATGAGGAAATGTCTGTAACAGTATTTTGCAGAGTACCTGACAAAAAGTGAGTGTTCAAAAAAATCTGAACCATTTTCATGACAAGCAATAGCCTCTGTCAGTTTTCTTTGGGAATAAAGAAAGGAGCCTGTTTAAGCTTTCAAGTGAAGTAAATCAGAAAGCCACCACATCGTGGACAAGCAGTCATGAGGTACAGGAGGCAATATGGGACAGTCACAGTGACTCAGAAAAGAAGTGGCAAACAGTAAGCAAGGGAAGATTTCTGGAACATGTAAATATTTCTATGAGATTCTTTAAAACACCAGGGAGAGAAAAGGAATACATGCAAATGCACAGGCTGAGAAAGTGATTATTTCTATTTTGATAGGTAGGGGTAACCCCAAAAGTTCCAAAAACTTGGGGCATTTGGTTATAGGTTAGGCGAGCAAAACAACAGAGTGCATGGAACAGATTGAATCTGTGTGTCTGTATTTAAGGATTCAAATAAAAAAGCCTATTGTGGTGGGGTAGTGTTAGAATGGGAGATTTTGCTGATAACATGAATATTATTGGGTCCTGGTAGCTGAAGAGTTTTAAAGAGAAGCATGTATAGGAGGGAGAAGGTTATTAGAAGTAGAGGAAGTGTTTCAAGCTGAAGCAATGATCAGCCTGTCGCTGGTATTCAGAGATGGCTGAGGTCATGAGGGAGACAGTTGGGCAGGTAATGTTAGGTCAATACATACAGGATATTAGGTGCCAGGAAGACGTTGAACTTGACAAATTCATATGCATTCTAGAAAGACTAAGAAATCTCCAGGAAAAGAGAGGGCAACTTGAGGCTAGACAAAATAGTGATATCAGTAAAAACTCTCTCTCCACTTTCTTTCTCTTACTTCCTATTGATGGCTTCTTTTTCCTCCCTTGCCTGACCTTCATGCTGCTCCTGGTGTTCCCACTGTTAACCCAACCCTGGCCTGTTCCACTCATAAAAACTTCCATGCCCCTCTTTTTCTTTATATTCTCTTGCCTTATCCTATTTCTCTATGACCCCCTGGATGATACATTAGCTAGTCTGACAAATGAATCCAAGCTAACCGGTTAATGGGCAGATCTACTCTTTTCCCCAGATATACACAGTTTTTGTTTTGTACGTAAGTGTCCTTCTAGACTCACATGCAAATTTCTTTCAGAGTAGCCTTTGTGGAATATATATATATATATATATATATATATATATATATATATATAGGCAC